AAGGTAGAGATGAATAGCAAGGATAGAGATATAGTAGAGAAGAAAATATCAAGCTTCATATAGAAAGGGTTTTTGTAGCAACTTCTAAACCTTAGAATGACTAGTTTCTACTAAGCTTGCGTCCTACAGTCAACATTGCTCTGATGCCACTTTGTAGCACCCGGTTTTAAGAACAAAATCAGATACGCACCATATGTGAGTCTAGAAAGTCAAATCTCATATATAGCTACAAATAAGGGTAATATTGAAAGACAATGCTCAAAATATGACATACTTAGTATAAAGGATATAACCTTAGACAACAAACAACGGAAAGACAAGTCCGATCTTCGGGTGAAGACTTCAATTCCACAGGGACAACTGACTGGTTGATCACAAGCCTAATTCCTCAAAACTCTAGCAATCTGGTACCCATCCGGGATTTTTATCTAAATATTTTAAAAAATAAAGCAAGCGTAAGTACATGTCGTACTCAACAAATATAACATGGGGTTCATGAGGCTCAAAAGGCTGACTCTAGTTTAACTGCAATTAGCTTTTAATGAGTCATCTTTTAGCAATTGGGTGGCAACTAGTTTATTCACAAGCCCGTATAAATACATGATCAGGTAAACATGAATAAGGAATAGCATAAGCGGTAATCATTACACTACAAGAAATATGTGGCTTTTTGATGTATTTAGTATGACAACGGGTCATAATGTCACTATATCATCCGATTTATGACATTATGTTTTAGGCATTTCGACTTAGTGACAATAAAAAGTTGTATGTCACAAAAAGCATCATACGGCTAGTCTAATTTCATCCAATAACGATATTTGCTATGTCACAGAGGCATTTTTTGTGTCACAAAGTCTAGTTTACAATTTAAACATTAATGTCCATGTTGGCATGTTCCACAGCCACATGGTCTATGGGTCCACGTGCTTTTTTATTTTTATTTTTCCAACATATTTAGCCCATGTTGTCTATATTTCACAACCCATGTTGTTAATTGTGGCGCTTTATTTTATATATGCATAATCACTACAGCAAAAAACAGCATCCCAAAATTAGCATGGGAGGGGGCGCTTTATTTTGATTATGTGTGTGTTTGTTTCTAAACTCAATTTAGTAAACACCACACACCACCGAAAAATAACGTCCAGCCAGAAATAAAAAAATAAATATATATACGATGCTTTGCATGAAGGAAGAATCACGTCAAAAAAATGTCCAGCCAAAAAATATAACGTCCAGCAAAAAGTAAAAAAAATAAGAATGTTGGCTACAAGACCTCTCATGTCAAAGAGAAAAAAGTGACATACCACTACACTACAAAGAAGTTAGAGAAATACTTGCAGTTCACCAAATATATACAAATCTACACATGAAGGAAGAAAAGATTGGAAAAAAAAACAAAAACAAGTGAGCACACCACTGAACTGTGCTCGTTTTTGTGTGTATGATTGCACTTAAGTTTTTTTTTGACGAAAATTACTTAGTCGTTAGATGAATTTATACCCCAGGCCAGCCCAGCACCACGCGCCACGCCGACTCCCCCTGCCATCAGACGGCAGCGACCTCGGGCCGTAGCTAGCGAATCCCGCTCTTATGTGAGCCAAAAAAATTATATATATATTTTATTTTAGTGGAAAACATGACCAACCAAGAATTTGAACCTTGGCTGTGGCAGCTAAACGGGCAAATGCAAACCACTGGACTACTACGTTATTCTTGTTTGGAGTTGTAACTTTGGTTTTATGTTACAAAAATATGCAGCAACCCAAAGTTTAAATTGTCAACTACAAAATTTAAATTGATTGTTTGAGGCCCTAAACGAATTCAAAAGAAAACGTTGTTAACTACAAAGCTTCATAACTTTTTGAGATCTACAACTTTCATTTTGGTAATTTCTCCATCCGAGATAGTTTACAAAATTTGAATTTTAAATTTTAGAAATTCAAACGTAGTTTTCCTTGAAAGATGATTTCAATTAAAAAGTTATCAACTATAAAGTTTCATAACTTTTTGAGATCTACAACTTTTTTTTACTGTTTGACCATCAAGGTCGTTTAAAAAATTTAAATTTCAAATTTCAATTTTTTGGAAATTCAAACGTAGTTTTCTTTGATAAGATGATTTTAAATCAAAAAATTTTCAACTACAAAGTTGTTTAAATTTTTGGGATCTACAACTTTTATTTTGATTGTTTCTCCATCCGAGGTAGTTTGAAAAATCCAAATTTTAAATTTGAGAAATTCAAACGTAGTTTTCCTTAACAGAATGAATTCAAATAACAAAGTTGTCAACTACAAAGTTTTATAACTTTTCGAGATCTATAAATTTTATTTTGGTTATTTAGTCATTTATTCATCCGACATAGTGGTAGCAACATTGTTCACAAAATTTACATATCTCTCTTATAGTTTAGTAAACTATAAGAGAGATATGTAAATTTTGTGAACAATGTTGCTACCACTTTATCGGATGAAGAAATAGCAAAAATAAAAATTGTAGATCCTGATGAGTTCTACAACTTTTATGTACATGACTTTTTCAGCCGAAATCATTTAATGTTTCAAAATGACGTTTGAATTTGTCATTTTTTGAAATTCAAAATTCAAATATATAAAACACAATCACATTAAAAGATGGACAAAATAATAGCTGTAAGAACACAAGAAATTGATAGAGCATGATTTTAGAAAAATTTAGAAAAAAATCATCAAAATTGAAGTTAATATGAGGGAGAAAAGCTAGTTACAAGTTTTAACCACAGATTAAAAAGAGAAATTAGAATTTCTCAATAATTTCAAAATTAAATTTCAAATAATATTTTGAAGCAGTAAATGATTTCAAATGAAAAATCTGTAAACAGAAAAGTTTCATAACTTCTCGTGGTCTACTTTTCTTTTGGGTCATTTCTCCATCCGAGGTCGTTTGAAAAAATTTGAATCTTAACACTTAGCGAAATAGTTAAAACATTATGAATCTTAAATTCTGGGAAATTATAAACTCAATTCGGCCTTTGATCGAGATGCCCACTAGTGCCCTGCGCTTTCGACCTGCCTAAGATCCCCAAACCGGCCCAGTTGGAGGCCCAGTTAGTAAACCCTTATGCCTGGCTATTGTGAGCCATTGATCTTAGATGAATGGTCAGGATTTAGACGTGTAAATTTGGACCCATATAAAACTTGACAAAACCCTAGTTCCCTTTAGTCTCTTCACTCCCTCCCCTTGCTCACGCCGCTCCCACACTGCTGTCCTGTAATGCCGATGCCGCAGGGAGCCACAGCATCCCACCGGCCGGATGGGGTCCAGCAGGAGCTCATATGGGCGGCGCGGTAGCCGTTATGCGCAGCCAACGGCAAGGGGAAACAGCTCAAGTCAGACGCACGACCATAGTCGCGCGGTGCGGGCGACAGTGGCGCAAGCGGCGGCCGCCCGCGCGGGCGGCGGGGATCCGAGCGCACACAGGATTTGAGCGGGTGACGACAGTCCTCACGTGCGCAGCAGCTGCCTGCCCTTAAGCGCGGCAGTGGCGGCCGTCCTCATGAGTGCATTAGCCACGCAGCGCAGCCGGCGGCGGCCGTCCTCTTGCCCACAGCAGCCACGAAGGGCCCAGATGCGTGCAGTGGTAGCCGTCTTCATGGCAATCAAGTTGTTGCACGCCGTCTAGAGGTGAGATCCAAGAAGGGGATTTTTTTTTTCTTTCTTTCTTTCTAATTTGTCAATCTACCTCCTACGTGTTGTGTGGGATTAAACTGAATGGAGGCAGATCACTGTACTGATGCTTCGTTCTAGATGCTAGAACTAGTGCTTCTCGTTCTAGATCTAGGTTCTCTGTTATTCAAGATTTTTTGCTAGCCATGAGGCAAATAATACAAATAGAACTAGTGCAAATGCTTGGTTCTGTGCCAATGAACTGGAGACCAATGCCAGATTTCTCGACTTTTATGTTTTACTGTGTGATTTATGAATTCTATTGTTGGAAAAATTAGTGAATGGAGAAGTGAATGTGCTGGCAGCTATATCCTCAACAATTTGCATTTTGAGTAGTCTGTCTCAACTCAGTCATTATCTAACAACCTTTTGAATATGCTAAGTGTACTAAAATCAGTATTTAAGAGTTAAACTATTGTGTTCTCAGTTTTCAGGTCTTCTTTTGGAAGAATGAGTTGCTATTGTTCTCAGCCATTATCTCACAAACTGTTGTCTTCTTTTGGAAGAATGAGTTGCTGTTGTTATCAGTTCCCACAACCTTTTTCTTAACGGTCCAGTATGTGCTTTTGTTTTCCAGGCTGCAAGTAGTGCCTGCTGTCAAGGCTGCAGCAGCTGGCAGGCTGGTAGTAAGACGAACACACGCAAAGGAAACACAAAGGTGACAATACTAACTGATAATCTCTTGCAAACATATGTCAGCTTTAGCAAGTGGTGACTACCTGATCATTTTTACAGCTAAATTTACATCTGAATGTCTTTTTGTTTCATGACAGGTCTGAATAGCTGGATAGCAAGAGATTGCATTTCCTATTGAAAGTAATTCTTTTGTTTGGAGTTAGTGCTTTCTTATTATAGGCAAATTTTGCTATTGGACATGTCAAATGACGCGTCTTTGCTGGCGGACACTGCGTTTTCCATCTTTTGCCGTGAGACACTCTGGTTTTTGGAAATACTGCCAGTGGGCACCGCAACCCAGTTGCACCCGGTTTTGGAGAGAGAAAAGTTCGTTTTGGACATCGGGTGCCCCTGAACCAGACTTGGCGCTGTCCCAACCTGGTCTGGTTCGACCCAGTTGAATGACCGGCCCGCACCTGACTTCGTCGTTAGGGTTCCAGGCGCGCCATTTCCCCAATCTCGCTGCCGTCGCTCACTCCCAATCGCGCTGCCACCCACTCGTCTCCACTGCTCGTCGCGCCGCCGTCCACTCAGTGCCCGCCGCCACTGACAGATCGAGCGTCGGCCGTCATCCGCCATGGGGGGTTGAGGATCTAGAGTTCCCCCGCGCCCCGAAGATGAAGTCCCCTAGCTCGAAGAACGGGCAGTGCCCTAGGTCTCTGCCTAGGGTTCCACAATTCAAATGGCTAGTGAAAGGGTGAGTCTTTTGAATCCCTACTATTTGCAGATGAATGCCTGCGGATGTGGTAGAATGCTTGTGGTTTTGAAATCGTTTAGTTTGGTTGTTATCCTTTGTGTTGATTTAGGATGTATCCGACTTCCGCGTGTAGACTAGCGATTAGCGTACCTGCATATGTAGAGCAAAGACCAGATGGGCTCGATGATTATCATGTAACTGCTAATTACATGTGTGTGGTAGACAAGGATAAATTCTCTTGGATGGGGTTTCTTGGGTGCCTTGGTGAGGAGATAGTCCATGGGGTCGACCAAGAACTGCAGGTCATCTTCTTTAACAAAACCAAGGATGAGACAGTGCGCATAGATTCTGATTCTGCTCTGTTACATGTATTTGATGTGTATTGGGACAGTAGGAAGGTGCCACTGACTGTACATGTTGTTGACACTGGTCTTCGTTTGCTAAAGTCTAAGTGTTGTAATGCCAATGCCTCTCAGTCTTCTCAGTCTGTTATTATCATTCAGGAGAGTCAGGTTAATTGTCAGCCAATAGCTATGATACTGCCTAATTTAGTAGCTGATGAAAATGGTGAAGCTGTTGATCTTAATAATGATGGTAATTGTGAGGCTAATGCTAATGGTGATGAGGGTCTTAATCTTGATAATGATGGTGAAGATGATGATGCTATTGCTGAAGAAGAAGAAGATACTGCTGAAGATGACTAGGGAGAGGCTGATGAAGTGGAGTATGTAGGAGTAGATTCAGTAGGATGTTTGTAGCACTGAAGCCATGCATAGATGGCTTCCTGCAAGGTTGCAGACCTTATTTAGGAATTGATTCCACAATTTTGACAGCAAAGTGGAAGGGACAGTTAGCATCAGCTGTAGTGAAAGATGGCCACAAATGGATGTTCCCAGTGGCCTATGGAGTATTTGGCAGTGAGGCCAAGGAGAATTGGGAATGGTTCATGAAGATGCTGCACAAGGCTATTGGTTCCCCAAATGGTCTTGTTATTTCAACTGATGCAGGTATGTTGCATTCATTGTGCTCTTGTTTTTCAATTGAGTGTCGTATGTTCCCCACCTGACATTATTTCCATGCTTACTAATTGTAGGCAAAGGAATAGACAAGGCTGTTACTAAAGTTTTCAGTAATGGGGTGGAGCACAGAGAATGCATAAGGCATTTAGTCAAGAATTTCCTGAAGAGGTTTAGGGGAGAAGTGTTTGAGAGGAACTTATGGCCTGCATCAAGGTGCTATAGACAGACAACCCATGATAGGCACTGAAATGAGATGCACAAGGCATGCCCCAAGGCAACTAGGTGGCTGTAGGACAATCACAAGCAGCTATGGGCAAGGTGTAAGTTTAGCACAGCAAGCAAATGTGACTATGTCACAAACAACATAGCAGAGACTTTCAACAGTTGGATCAGGGAAGAGAAGTCATTACCTGTTGTAGAGCTAATGGACAAGATAAGGCAGTTGATCATGGAGAGATTTTGCACCAGGATGCAACTGCTGTCCAAGTTTTCTGCCTTCAAGATTCTGCCAGCTATCATGAAGGAGCTGCACAACAAAAGCAGAAATCTGAAGTACAACATTCACAAGAGTGGCCCAATGGTTGGTGAAGTTGGAGGAGTCAACAAGGACCTGGTCCCTTGGAGGTTCATTGTTGATCTAGACAAGAGAGAGTGCACCTGTAGAGGTTGGCAGTTAACTAGTCTGCCATGTGTTCATGCCCTAGCTTTCATTGGCACCAGAAGGGTAGACTTAGAGGACTATGTTGACCACTACTATTCTGTAGACATGTTCAAAGCAGCCTATGCAACTCTAGTGCCTCCAATGCCAAGCAAGGATGAATGGGAAAAGCTGAACCTTGGCTTCAACCTCCTTTCTCCTAAATGCAACAGAGCAGCAGGAAGGCCAAGGAAGAGAAGGATAGTTGGAGTTGAAGAAGGTGGGTCTAGCAGCAAGGGCAGGAGAAGGTGTAAAAGGTGTGGTGGATTTGGACACCTACAGAAAACCTGCAATGAAACTGTTGCAGACCCTGATGCACCACCACCTGCACCTCCAAAGAAGAAGAGAAGGACTTATAAACCAAAGGTTGTTGAGATCATAGAAACAACAGAAGAGCCAGCCAAGAAGAAGAGAAAGGCCTCCACCAAGGGGAAACAAACCAGCAATAAGAAGACAACTCCAACTGATCCTACACCTCCTGAGCAATAAGTGTAGTAAGTGATCCATTTCTTGCCAACACTGTTCTTAATCTAAAGCCAAGTGTAGTTGATAACATGGTCACATCTGCCATCTTACAGGGTTCCAAGATCCCCAGTCACTAGGAGGCAGGCCAAACAGCAAGCTGGAGGTAGCCTAGGGGCCTGATGCCTGCACTGGGAACATCAAGATAGAAGCAACCTTTTGAGCCACCTGTGCTTTTGGTGTGCTTTTGTGTGGTTCTATGAACTTGCTATTGTAATCTGTGTGCTTTTGAGCCTAGATATTGTTGGTGTGAACCTGGTATTGTAATCTGGTAATGTAGTGAACCTGGCTATTGTTGGTGTGAACTTGATATTGCCATCTGGTATGATGTTCCATAATTAATGATCTGGTATGCCTATGTTTGTCATGCTAAAATTAAGTCAGTTGTTAAGTTGAAGGTAGTGATGCTGCAATTTTAACTTTACAACTAAAAAAGGGAACAAATCAAGTTGAAGTTACTCCATTCAAACTCCATTTCATTCATATTTCACAAACTTTACAAAGCATACTTCATGCTTGCTTGTACAATACCATGCACAAAGCAAGAAAGCAAACAACACTTACAAACACACTGGCCCCAACTATCATCCTAACAACTATTTGCTCTCCAGCTATTCTAGCCACAACAGTGCTCTGAGCAACTACAACATTGTCCAAGTTCAACAGAGAATTCTCCAGAGCCTTCAATGCAGCCATCACTGCTGCACCATCCATGCTATCTCCAGCGCTCTCTGGCTTCCACATGAAGAAGTTGCAGGTACCGTTGCCCTATTTCACAGCGAAAGCCAAATCAATAGGATGAACCCTACATCCGATTTCAAAACGGCCAAATGTAGCAAGAACAAAATCAAGAAAACTCACCCAGTCACGATTCGTGCAAGTGTAGAACGGCTTGTCTGGATTTTTTGTGGTTCTCGACGTCCGCTCCATGACCGTCGCCATGTGGCAGAAAGGGCACAGCGCCTGCCCCTCTCTCGCTCCATGCGACCCAGTCGACGAAGAAGCGCCAGATCCTATAGCCATCTTCTATAGGCCCGCTCTCCTGTCGATGACGCCCGCCAACCTACGCCGCGCCGGCACCCCCACCCGACCGGCCGCCGCCTCTGCAGTGAAGAGGGGGAACGAGGAACAAACCGGAGTAACGACGGAGTCGGGTGCGGGCCGGTCGTTCAATTGGGTTGAACCAGACCAGGTTGGGACGGCGCCAAGTCTGGTTTAGGGGCACTCGATGTCCAAAACGAAGTTTTCTCTCCAAAACCGGGTGCAACTGGGTTGCGGTGCCCACTGGCAGTATTTCCAAAAACCAGAGTGTCTCACGGCAAAAGATGGAAAACGCAGTGTCCGCCAACAAAGACGCGTCATTTGGCATGTCCAATAGCAAAATTTTCCCTTATTATATGACTTGTGTAATTTTGATGGTGTTTTTTTGTGTCATGTAGACAAGCACTTCTATAAATGATGGTGTTTTGAGCGGATGGAAACTGAGTTAGTGCTCTCTTATTATATGACTTGTGTAATTTTGATGGTGTTTTTTCGTCTGATTTTAGGAAAATCCAGAAAATTTGATTGCGCTGGTCCTTGTGTTGGAAGATATGGAAGATTGCCGCAGGTGTTTTGTACAGGAATATAGGTCTTAATAGAATAAGATAATGTTTTTGTAATTTTAGTTTTGATCATTGTTAAAATGCCACTGGATATGTAAATTATGTGTATTTGCACTGTTGATTTATTATATTGATCTCGGCCTTCAGTAATGTAAAGTGTGCTGGGCCAACATGTGATTTGTGGGCTAAAAAAATGTGGGCTGCAAAAAATGTTTGGGCTAAAAAAAATATATGGGATCAATTGTGTGGGCTGAAAACTGTATGGGCTGCAATCCTAAAAAATATAAAAAAATGAAAATGAATAATGGGCCAGCCAGCAATGGCCCAAAAAATATTTGTGGCCCATGAGCTACGTGGGCTTTAGCAGGCCAAATCTAATTTTGTGACGTTTTTTTCCTGCCATGTCAGCTGCCATGTGGCAAGGCCTAGAATTTTGTGACAATAAAGCAATATCATAAGCTTGTGACAATAAATATAAAAACGTCATATGATCAATTTGTGACGCTGGTTTTTTGACGTTTGAATTTTTGTCAACTTAAAGTCATAAATCTTAAGTTGTGACAATAATTCCATATGTTTTGACACAAATAGAATGTCAAAAAACCACACATGTCTTGTAGTGTTAGTGAGCATCTTCATCATTAGTATCATCCGTGTTCATCATCATTAACCATTAATGATCATCTATTTCATAAATGTTCCAAGGCCGCTCGTGACCATGAGCACGGCTAATATACCAGTTTTACACTCTACAGAGGTTGTACACTTTCACTGTGAGTCATGATACCCATATGCCCGGGTTAATTACTCCCAAAACACTTCCAAGGTGAGCAGACATGGCTCACTATGAAGCCTTTCAAAGGTTTGCCTAACAAGTTAGGGCCATTAGATTTCACAGATGTAGAGCCCCCCTTCCCGATGGCACATTGACGTGCAGCCTATACACATGGGGACAGAGGCCGCACTATATCCAATTCGGCAAGCCATTCTTACGCCAATAAAGGTAACCACTAACAAGCTAGAAAATGTCCTCATACTGAGCTAAAGCCAGAGCCATGTATCCCTCACAGCTGTACTATAAGTCCCGAATGATCACTTACAGATAAGTCCTTAGGGAGAGGAATCTAGAGCACCGTAAAAACAGCTCAATGCTCTAGCCCCCTTGTTCCATGTTGCTAAAAAACATCTTTTAGTGTTTATTGCATATACAATTAGTCAAGTTACATGATCATGGTTTTAGTTGAGCACTAGCAGAAATACTACCCAATGCAATACCCCATAGGTAGCAAGGTACAAGTACAAAAGACTAGGATATCCTTAGTGGTAGTCAAGGGAGACACATGCAGTATAAATTAAATGATTAAAGGTGTATAGGACAACAAGGATAATCCCATGCTATACTTGCCTTACACTCAGATCCTTCTTCTAGTCCAAACCTTCAATGGAACTCCTTGATCAACACGTAAAGTTCACCGACTGGACATGATCATAAAGCACCACACAAGCATCCGAACAAACATGCATATCATTCAAACATAACTATATTAGAACAATACACCAATCATAGGAAACAATAAGTCAAAAGGTTTGAAAATTAATCTACACGTTGCTACAAACACACAGACGCGAAAAACATGCTAATCGAAGCTACGGTGGAAAAGATACAACTACCGATAGATTAAAAAGAAAACTATAGGCTTTATTTATTTTAATTATAAAACATATATAAGATGTTTCAGAGAAATATCTAAATTGATTTAAGACATTATATTTGTATTAGGAAACCAATATAAGATTAATCTTATTTTATTTACAAAAGACAGAGGTAAAAAGCCTAAGTTGCTTTTAATTGAAAAAGTAGC